ATGCACAATCATTCCCGAATCTCTGAATCACTTCACTCGAAGATCATGGAACATCCAGAGAAAATCCAGAGAAACACATATGAGCATATCCAAATTGAGCAAGACAGGATTGAAGGCATCAGAATGAATTGATCCTTGGTTCAACACCCTGAAACACTTGTTTGGGCCTATTTATCCTTTTCTTTCATAACCATGAGCCATGGCCTACATTACGTGCCTTAAAAGTCTCTTCTAATCATACATGGATTTCTAAACAGAAGAGACTATCTTCAGATTTCATCCCGCCCATCAGGATTAATCGTTGTTTGCAAAAAAAAACAATGTAATTAATACATGGTGAAAAAAATAACAAAGGGGGGTTCAAGACGTAAATCCTGAATAACGACTTGAAACCAAAGGAGGGTTCGAGTTTAAAACCTGAAAAGGCGGCTCGAATATAAAAATTGTGCAACTGAGGCGATCACATAAATTCCTTGATAAGGCATCGCACAATCCGAGTGTGACAACAAAGGTTGGGAGTCAGGGGACACTTCCAGCAGAGGAGCATGCAAGCTACCCCATCAATCCTTTGAGCATCAAATGAACAAAAATGCCAAACATTTGACCAAACACAATAACCTGATACTTTTTTATCCTTTCTTTACTTGACCATAGCTTTGATCTTGGCACTTGTCAAATGGCTATAATTTATTGAAGGATTAACATTATAATTAATTCTTTGATATCCAATGAACTTTAGTTTTATGATTCATCTCAATTGTAAAACCGGGAAAAGAGCAATATTTTCAAAACTTTTGATTAAACATTTTTTCAAACTCTTTTAATTAATATTTTCAGAACTTTGAAAATAAAAGAGAAAGAAAAACATTTTTTTTCAAACAAGACAGTCTCTCTAGAGTGGATCTTGGGAAATGACATGTGACTCTTAGACACAAAACTCATGCTCAGAATCAATGTTGAAACAAGAAATGAGGAACATTTGGGGCATCTTTGGGGATTCAACATCCTAATTCGAATTAATAGACCTTTTTCCAGGAGATAAAATATGACCAATTCATGTTACATGCATCTTATGCATACATTTTAGGGCATCATATTTATCATTTTTCCACATACATAATCTTTGCAGCTTTTAGAATCAAGTTTCGACTTCAAGACGAAGGATACTCGATTCAAAAACACCTTTAAAGATTGATGTTGGTTGCTTGACTCGGCAGCAAGAAGCTACACTTCAACCAACTTCGACAGATTGAAAGATCGATATTTATTTCCAATATAAATTTTGTCTCGCTTGAGACAATCTCATTTAATTTATCTCACTTGAGATTTTTTTTCTTTTTCTTAAAACAAGATTTGTCTCGCTTGAGACCGTTCTCACCATAAATAAGGCATTTCATTTCACTCGAAAGAAGATTTATTTCACTCAAGATTGTTTTTCTTAAAACACATTTTGTCTCCCTTGAGACAGTTTCTTTTGGAACTAAGTTTTGTCTCTCTTGAGACAGTTTTTCTTGAAACAAAATTTTGTCTCCCTTGAGACAGTTTCTCTTGAAACATAAACATCGAAAACATTTCCCTTGAAATGAATTTTGTCTCTCTTGAGATAGTTTCCCTTGAAACAAAATTTTGTCTCCCTTGAGACAGTTTCTCTTAAAACATAAACATTGAAAACATTTCCCTTGAAATGAATTTTGTCTCTCTTAAGATAGTTTCCCTTGAAACAAAGTTCGTCTCCCTTGAGACAGTTTCTTTTTGAACTAAGTTTTATCTCCCTTGAGACAGTTTCTCTTGAAACAACACAATTTGCTCGAGAGTAGATTTCAACTTCCACGACGGAGGATATCTAACTCGGAGCCAAACTTCAAAGTAAAGAGGTCTCCACGATTTCAACTTCACGGCGAAGGGAATCGTGTCTACCCACAACATACAATACTTGGATTTCAACTTCACGGCGAAGGATATTCAAGTCAAGGCTCAACTTCACGACGAAGGGGCCATCCGCGATTTCAACTCCACGACGGGGGATATCGTGCCACTCAAGACAACGCAAGTTCAACTTTACGACGAAGGGACCGCTGGTTGTCAACAAACAACTTCCCAATTTCAGAGCCAATTTCAACTTCACAGCGAAGGATATTGGACTCCAGACAACGCAAGTTCAACTTCACGACGAAGGGACCGCTGGTTGTCAACAAACGACTTCTCAATTTCAGAGCCAATTTCAACTTCACAGCGAAGGATATTGGACTCCAGACAACACAAGTTCAACTTCACGACGAAGGGACCGCTGGTTGTCAACAAACAACTTCTCAATTTCAGAGCCAATTTTAACTTCACAACGAAGGATATTGGACTCCAGACAACGCAAGTTCAACTTCACGACGAAGGGACCGCTGGTTGTCAACAAACAATTTCCCAATTTCGGATCCAATTTCAACTTCACAGCGAAGGATATTGGACTCGAGACAGCACAAGTTCAACTTCACAACGAAGGGGCCGCTGGCTGTCAACAAACAACTTCTCAATTTCAGAGCCAATTTCAACTTCACAGCGGAGGATATTGGTCTCAAAACAACGCAGCTTGCATTGGATTTCAACCTCACGACGGGGGATATCCAATTCTCAGGCTCAAGTTCACGATGAATGAGCCATATACAATACCAACTTCACAAACAGATTGATCCAACTTCGCGACGAAGGAGTCATCTGTAGCACCATAACACCACAGTCTTCAGGTCAAGGGTCACATTCACAACGAAGTACCTTGAACCAGAAGATGATTCAGAGGCCACTTGTCAAAAGCTTTGAGCTCGTTTTCAACTTCGTGACGAAGGATTTCGTGCTCAAAATTTTCCAGTTTTGACCCAACCTCACGACGAGAGAGTCGTTTCGTGATTGACAAGCCAGTTTCAACATCGGCTTTCATCTCTACGATAGGGGACATTCGATATGGATGAAACTTGTGTCTATTAATCTTTGCTCCATTTTCGTTATACGATAATAAGCAAAGAGGGGCAGCTGTAGACACCCTCTATTTCATCCATTTATGCGCAATAAACATATATTATTATTTATTTATTTTTTACTTATGTTTCACATTTTACAGGCCTAAAATCACATATGGTCCAACACACCATACCCAAGTCCCATATGACCCAACATACGTGAGCATCCCACAAGTTTCCAGAACCCTAGCTACACACCTCCTGGCAGCGCCGTTTTCACCCATTCGAAGTTCCCACAGCCGTACGTTTCTCACCCACAACAGCCCGCGTCTTCCGGCTCAAGGATCTCAGTCATCATCAACAAACAATAAACAACACGCATTAGATTTCTAGTGAGATTAGGAGTCTAAAAATATATTTTCTTTTAACACTATAAATACAATGTAATACATACTGTATGGGGGGATTAAAGATACGGAAATACACACAAAAATACTGGAAATCACAAGAGCACACACAAGCAACTGGTAGCAAAAAATAGAGATTTGGGTGAAGGGGACGTTCGAAAAGAATAAAAAATTTTGAAAACAAGAGAGAGCTTACCTTCGGATTTTCAGCGACGGTAGCTCCGGTGGCCAGGCGATAAAACCGAACGGTCAACTAAAGGAGAAGCCCGAGGAGAACAACATACCTCATAACAGAAACGATACAACGGCGAAATAACCAGATCAGAACAGTGGAAACTTGAACGATATTTGATTTTTTCGTGGAGTTGAAGGCCATATCTCGCAAAACCAATACCAGATCCGAGCTACTAGTGTTAAGACGGACCTTCACTTTTATTTTGGCACCAAATGACCACCAGAGACTATCAGGGGGTGATGGTCCTCCCTTCCTCCCTTTCCCGGTGAAATGTTTCTTCCTCTCTGTTTTCTTTACTAAGAGAAAGAAATGAGCACTTTAAAATTATTTTGGTGTCTTGTATGTGCACAGGTATTAATGCAGGGGTCATTTGTGTATGAAGCCATTCTAGTTTTTAATTGCATTTTGGTTCTATTTTGGGTTACTTTCATACTACTTTGAGCCTTTTATTTCATCTGTATTATATTTTCGTCCTTATGCTTTTTTACTTTTTAGACCGAATTATCTCTATTTATTTTGATCGAGTAATTTCACAATCTATTCAATTTACACTTACCTTTTAGAACTTATTATTTCGTTTATTTTAGTGTCTGCAGGATTTATTTTACCATTTGTAAATTGTAATACACATGTCTATTCTCATTTTTTATGTTAATATATTGTGCATAGGGCAGTACACCTACACCTGTATTAGGATTTCTTTACCAGCCATATCCCATCTTGAATTACGTGCATGATATGTATATATATATATATATATTAACTTTAGTATTTCTTTTCCTTATTTCTTTTAATATTTATATATATATATATATATTTTATTTTTTTATTTCTTGAGACTAAATGATTTTATTCATTTTATTTTTATTTTATTTTTTTTTTTCACTCTTAACATATTTATTGTTATTTATTTATTTATTTTTTTTCTTTTTAATTTTTCGATATTTCTTTTATTTTACCATCTAACATATTTTTGACTTTTTTCAGTAATAATTTCAATCGATCAAAGGTAGGTAATTTGAATTGAATGTTTTAAATCCTAATTTAAATTTGAATTTTCGCAACTAAGACAACCGGTAAATTAATTGGTACCGAAAGGGCGGTTCAAGGGTGCTAATCCTTCCTTGACCGTAACCGACTCCCGAACCCAACACATTTCTGGTAAAACGCAAATCAGGTCAGACATAGGGTATCCGATCAACCCATTTATTTTAAAATAAATGATCGGTGGCGACTCCAATCCACATTTTCAAGTCGAAGCCTAATTCCGGGGCCCAAGCGAAAGACGGTTGCGACAGTGGGTCTGACTATAAACTTAAAAAAAAAAGGAAATTAGGGACCATTACTTTTGGTTTATTTCTAGGAATCCTGGTAGTTTTCCCTTTATAATTTAGCCTATTAGAAACTATCGAGTTAACTGAGCTTGAATATCCTAATAACAAATTCAAGTAGCTCGCTATCCTAATCAAGCATTCTATTTATGATATGTAGATTTTCTAATATCAAGTTAGTATTTTTCAGTTAAATACAAAGGTATACTTAAAACCCCAAACATAAATCTTCTTAACCTCACAACCTCACCCAAGGCTTCCTTCATACTGCCCCTTCATTCTCCCAAAATCACCTCTTGGTTTTCAGCTACATATCTTCTTCCTTAACCCATTTACAGTCTTCTTGACTCAGTGCCTTCTCTTTGTCCTTTGCCAACTCTCTTCCGTTTCTGGCTTAAGTAATGCCCCACAGTCGCCAGCTATTTTCTTAGTTTTAATCAAGACACGAATTTTAGTTGTCACCTTTTAAAAAATTCAAACTTTTGGCCTTGTTTCATTCTCATGGAAGGTCTAGATTGAGATTTGGTAGCGAAATTTCAGATCTCAATAGTGCGGAAAATATAATGTTTAGACCATAGTGTTTTCATGTGGCGCGAGTCATTTTATTTTCTGTTTCGTTCTCCATTTGTCATACGCTGATTTCAAGCTTTCTAGTTTTCTCACTGGTTTTCATGCTTCGGTTCTACATGAAGTGTCAAATTCTGGCAACATTTCCTCCCCAGAAAATATCATTTTCTGTAGGAAAAATGTTGCTTTACAGATCTTACTTTTCAAACGTTCATTGGCTAATTGTAGTTACCTCTACCATGCAGATGTTGTGCAAATTGTGTGATGGATTTGAGGGGATGTTGTTACAGTTGCACGACTGCGCAGCGGCGCAGACCTGTTTTACCGGCGTTTCAAAGATACAAAAAGTGGCACGTATATCGAGATCAAGAAATTGGAGCTAGATCTCCATGGAGAATTCATGATTGGGATAATCCATTCAAGTTTGCAGCAGTTGTATAACCTTCTTGTAGTACTAATTTAAGCAGTGTGTATGGTTCAGCTTAGGCAACATTTTGAAACAGTTTTGAGAGCCAAAACTTAAGGGGCATTAGATTGGGTGAAGAATAGCTCAAATACTAAAACATGTCTTGTTAAGTATAGACATTAGTTTCCAACAACTACAACTCATATGCAAACAATTTCAATAATTTCTCTCAATCCATCAGTCCTAAAACAGTGTAAAACCTTTAATTTTACACTAGGTGTAAGTGGATCCTAACCGTACATATATATAATAAAGACAACATGCATATTGCCAGGTCTAGCTGAAGGCCTGAAGCGTGAGGCATGTAAACTAAGCTATAGCAAGGGCAAAATCAGCTTCAGAAACAGCTAGAGTTCTTCACTCATCCGTATTTATAAATTAGTCTATTAGGAGAGAACATAACTACTTGGAGTAAAATGTTACATCCAAGGTTCAACTGAATCCTAAATAATTCCGAAACAGTCCATCGCGCATCAAACACGTTACAGGAGCATACTTTCATGAGGACAAGCATGAAAATCATTACGATAATAGTACCCGAAAAATGGCACCAAATAAAATGATGTAAGCTCTAACATTTCATCACAAATCGAATGGCCATCATTTAGTAATCTCATTTATAAAATGGACGTTCAGAATGGAGATCAATGTCCCTAGGAAACGTACTTTTTCCGTGAAAACTAGTCATTTTGAGTGCCGTATCGACATTTGACTTCCTTACCTTCAATGAGTTTCTCCACAGCATCTGAAGGAAGGCCGATCATCTCCAATGTCTTCTCCCCACACTTCTAATGAAGTCTCGACACTGTGTGCTTCTTCAGAAGGATTCGTAGGACGGCAATCTTGGGAGATGAATGCGCAAACAGGCCACTCATCGGCTTTTAACAACTCACAGTACTCTGGAATCTGGGGATCTGTTGCCGAGAAGAGAGCACTCCTAGAACCTGCATTGATATTGAATGATGGAAAAAATTATATCCCAATTCCCCTTATCCCTATTCCCATTAAAGTTTCTATGTTTTAGCAATATATTATCAGAAAGCTATTTTCTTTACATCAAACAGCGAAGCTTTATTGAAAATCATCTAATCATGTTCATGAAAAATCTTCAATAAATTGGGAATCCGAATTTTTCTTCAGCCTTCTAAACCAGAAGGCTTGTGCACATGGCAACATTCATCGAAAGATTAACTAGCTGTTCTACTTGAAAGAACCTCTAGAACGGATCTAATGGTGATTTGTGAAATTGTTTAGTGTTTCCGAAGATTCAATATTTAAAGGAGCAGCTGATAGCAGAAAAAGTTTCAGGTGCATTGATGCTTCCAAAAGATCAAATAGAAACTTTTAAGCAAAATAATTAGTTTACAAGAGACTAAGATGGAAGAAATCAATAGATGGTTAAACTTTCATGGGGTCCTTTTGTATTGGAAGATGCTTGCAATGTATGACATCATGGTAGAAAATACATTTGGCTTACAAAAAGAATGTAGATTACAAAAAGGTTTTAAAAATAATTCAAATTTCTAACCCCAGAAAAATGAAAACTCTAAAACATTACTTTGGCATGACAATCATTTAAATGATGATAGATATGCTTAATAGAAAATTATCAAGAAAACACAACTGAACTAATATTGGCAAAAACTTACCCTCCTGAGGACTGAAGAAATAGGGTATTAGATGATAACCAACTTGAACAATTCTGGGAAGATCCCGAGCCTGCATTTAAACACAGAATTTACAGCAAAATAACTTCAATATTTTCAATGACATAAACATAAAAACATAATGAATTATGTGATAAGGATGAATGTAAGAACCCACAGCTGAGTGATATGATGAGCTACAAATACTGTTTGCAGCAAATGAAAGCACGTGCATCAAATAATTTAGATTAGCTTAGCAAGCAAATAAATATAAGTCACCATCCATGCATGGACTCTTCATTTTCCATAAAGTACTCATGCATCACAATTGTATCCAACACAATTTCAGATATGTGCACTAGGGTATGCTCGAAATATATGGAGAAAATGAGGGGGGGGGGAATGAACATATTCACGTGGTACACCAGATATCAGACACTCACCCCCGATTCCAAGCAACATGGGTTATCATAGTTCAAGAAAATAGTTTTAACAATGAGCAGTTCACCTTTATTATTTAAAAGAGAGACTCTTGTCTTTACACACATCCTTTCCAAGATTGTCTTCTATGAGAAAAATAGGCATGTAAATGCATGGGGAACCATGGGAACAACACATTCATCTTCAAGCCCAATAGAAAATCAAATGCAGATAACTGAAAGATTTTATGTCCAACATTATAGTGAACAAGGGTCATGTTAACAATGATGATGGTATGCAGACCATTAAGAAGTTGTCCAATCAATATTTCCAAAAGCAGTTGCTAAACTCCTTGTTTTTTATGGCTCAGTTGCATGCACCCTTAAATTTATCCTAACACAATAATACCAGTTTGACCTTCCAAATCACAGAAAACTCAGAGAGAATGATCTACACCATGTGGTCTACATAGATGTCATGTTGATAAATAAACAAATAAAATGTGTACTTTTAACTAAAAGAAACTCCAAGAATATGACTAAATTCTCAACTTCAACTTTGCCAAATATAACAATTAAACACACATCAACAGGCCAAATAGACATCAGACATTATAACTTGCTAGGGAATTAAAGCTGAATATAAATTTCGATAAAAAAAGTAAAAAACATTTGTTTCAAATAGTTTTTTAAAGAGTAAATATCATGTATAAACTTCAAGTTATTAGGCCTTCTTCAGGAAGCTTTGTCTTTAGTATGGTCAATAAGCGTGGTTTTGTTCGGCAAGGAACTCCAAAAATTTTGTTAATCCTAATACTGATACAAGATTTTATGAATATAATGGAATGCTAAGGCTATTTTTTTTTTTCATATTTCTATACATATATTTTGCATGCATTCAGAAGGAATATCATTTTATCTGCGTAGACCTATGTTTTTCGACAATAATCACAAAATCCTTTCTTCTGAAGCGGCAAAAATAGTTAGCTCGTCATCTGAAACAGTAACAGCACTAGGCAGACAAATTTTGTATCGTAATGTTTTATGTTGAAGAAGAAAAGCAGGAAGAATCTTGGAATGGAAATATGCAAACATTCGAGTATTGACCCTCCTAATAAAAGATGGAGAAAACTTACAACATTTGTGTGGACAATTCCAGGTGATGCACACACAACATTAACACCAGCCTCAACAGGTAGCCGTTTGTGGAGGACACTGCTAAACATAACCTGCAAGCAAAGGCACCAGTTTCCCAAGCCATTGTCAGTGTAATATATTTTACTTTACATCTTGAATATATCAACATTTTATTTCCCGATGATCAGTTAATACAACAGGATGAAAAAGCATGTATGCTACTGAAAAACTCGCGGTTGCAATGGGTTGAGACTTGAGAGACCAATTTGTCAAATTAAGCAATCTCTGCATTTAAATTTAAAGTTGTAACTTTATTCCCAATGGGGCATCTGAATTGTTAGCAATTAAAATTTTAATTAGGTCTCAAATTCAGCCCAAGAGAATAAGAATGGGGTTTGGAAAATGAGAAACTCTCCTTGGCTTTGTTATACAAAGTGATAATGTGATATTCCAAATTAAATTAACCTGAATTAAAGTTGAGAATAAATTTGTCATTAGGAGTGTAAGTATACCAGTACCTTGATGGAACAACTCATGATCATGATCAGTTACAGCTTGTTTATGTTCATTTATAAAGCTTAACAAATAAGTTCAAACAACCTTCTTAGGATCATTTAATAAACATGTAACATAGGTAAGCTCAACCTGTTTATGTTCACGAACAAGCTTGATAAAGTGTTTGTGAACCAAACTGAAAAGCTTGACAATAACTTGTTACTTGTCAAGTTGATTAAATTTTAACTCCAATATCTTCAGATACAAATGAAGTTATGATTTAAGAAATTTTTTATTGAAAAGTAGACATAACATAGATTGAAGTTCATTTGTAAATTTTGTAAAATATTGTTGCAAAGTTATTTTCTATATGCCCACAAAACACACAAACAGGCAAAAGATTTTTCTGGAAACATAAACTAGAAAAGAAATCCGCTCCTTATGCCATGAATCTCATATTAGATGGCAACACGAAGGGGCATTACAAGGTAAGCTGCCTATTGAGTCCAAAGGTGAAACCGAAGACGTGATGTAAACAACCATAATTCAACGAAAATTTAAAGTCAGTCGACTGTTAAAAGGAAATGAGATGACTTATGATATTACCTGTGCTAGCTTGCTGCTAGTATATCCCAACAGGCTTGAGTATTTTCTTTTCCCATTAACAGCATTCATGTCTTCTGTATCAACGAAGCCAACATAATGCATCTACAAAAGGGATAATCAAATTCATCATGAAAAAATAAGCATCTGCATTTTCCAAAACAATAATGACATTACTAAAGATAAAGTTTATGATAACATGAGTCTTATTCTGGCATATTCTCTATTTCATTTTTTTTCAGCCCGTCCTGTCCAGCTATGGTAAGAAATTTGAATAGTAATGCAAACTAGAAAAAATAAGCATCTGCATTTTCCAAAACAATAATGACATTAATAAAGATAGAGTTTATGATAACATGAGTCTTATTCTGGCATATTCTCTATTTCATTTGCAAACTATCCACAATGGACATCTGAAATTCACTTTTAAGAACTATGCTTAGTGCAAATAAGAACACAAGACACACCCAAGTTCATTTGAACCGAAGGGAACTTACAACGGAATTGACATTAATGATTCGACTTGGAGATCCTTTAATTAGGGAAGGCAAAAGCAATACTGAGAGCAGTGCTGGAGCCAGGTGATTCACTTGCATGTGTGCCTCATACCCATCCTTTGAAAACTTCTGGGGTTCTGCATATGGCAAGTTGAAACATAAATCTCCATCTTCTGGTTCCATATAAAGGGCTTTATATCAACAATTAGTAAAAATAAATAAATAAACTGACGAACCTCCAATTGAAAAAATCCCGGCATTATTAATGAGAACGTGCAATGGTCCAGGACGAGCATTCCAGGCATTAGCAAAACTTACTACAGAATCCAAGGATAGAAGATCAAGTTCCATGACCTCGATGTTCAAAGGGAGCCCATGCCAAGAGGCAGACCACTGATTAATCAACTCATGAGCTGCCTTTGGATTCCTCACGGCCATCACGACGTGCGCGCCGGCTTCGGCCAATTGCCTGGCGATCTCCTTCCCGATGCCGCTGGTGGAGCCGGTCACGACGCAGGTGAAGTCGGTCAAGGGCGGCAGTTCTAATGGGTTCTGAAGGTGACTCGCCATTATCCTCTGGAAAAGCATCTCGTAGATCACGTACATCCATCCTCTCAGCCATTCGATCCAACCCAGCCCTTCCTTCTTCTTCGCCATTCCAGTCGAATGCAAAAGATTCTTTTTTCTACTTTTTTTTTTCTTCTTTTTTGTGTGTTCTTGTGAATCACAGGTTGTGATTTATACTAAATTTGTCTCAAAGATTTCCCTTCTTTTAGTAATTTAAAGGGTGCGTTTGGTTCATTGAAGGTGTGAAAATGTTAGGAATATGATTATTGAGAATGTTGTATTTTGTGTTTGGTTGATTTAGTAGGAATGTAAGATTATTGTGTTTGGTTAAAGGAATAAAAGATTATTGGAATGTATATTTAATCAAATTGTTCTTATTATATATTTGTATAATATTACAAGTTAAAAAATATTTATATATTTTCTTTAAAAAAATTTAAATTCATAATATTTATATATTTTTTACAAAATTAAAAATAAAAAAAAAAATTAATGAAAGGTAAAATTTTATTTTAACCCTTGAACTTCATATAAAATTTTAATTATAGATTTTTTTTGTAAATCTAAAATAATTTAAGGATAAATTTCTAATTTAATCTTCGTATAATTTTTATTATTCAATGACAGAAGAAATATATTTTTGAAAAAAAATAAAAATTTAAGGGTATTTTAGTCTAAAATACCGGTAATCCAACAATACCTAAGGAAAGGGAGGTAATGACATTCCCGGTAATATACCCCAAAAAATCCACTATTAGTAATCTTACATTACTGGGAATAAGATTCTCGGGCTAACCAAACGAGGGAATGTGGATTCCATTCCCATGAGAATCTCATATTCTCTCATCCAAACAACTCCTAAGAATTAAGATTCCTTTCGCATTCAAAATGAAAATGAATTAAAACAAAGGGTAAATTATCGGTTTAGTATCTTAACTTTTATTTATTTTACAATTATACCTAAATTTTAATTTTTATTTCATTTTAGTATCCGTTCAAATTTTACTGCCAAGTTTTAAAAAAATTGAAAGTTTAGATATTAAAACAAACTAAAACTGATAGTTAAGGTACTAAACGCTTTAAGTTTTTAATAGTGGGTACTAAAATGAAACATAAACTAAACGTTAGGTATAATTTTAGAAAAATATTGAATGTTTAGGTACAAAAATAAAACAAAATTGATAGTTTATGTACTAAATATGTAGGGTAAACTACAATTTTAGTTCCTAAACTATTATTTTTTCTCTATTTTAGTACCCAAACTTTATTTTTTTTCAAAACTATGTCTAACGTTTAGTTTATGTTTCATTTTGGTACTCGTTGTTAAAAACTAAATGGCGATGTTGATGTTGATGTGTCACCATAAGATAATACCACATCATCATTGAAAAAATAAAAAAACATCAAATCAACAATTCTATTAATTTTAATATTGGGTATCAAATTGAAATCTAAACTAAATGTTAGGTATGATTTTGGAAAAAAAATAAAGTTAGGTAACAAAATTGAACAATAGTAATAGTTTAGACAGTAAATGTGTAGTTTACCCTATAATTAATATAAGATCCTTAAATTATAGGATAAGTTACCTATTTAGTCACCTATCAATCATTTTGGCTCCATTTAATCACCAACTATTAGGTTTTGTTTTATAAATATTATCTAACATTTTAGTTGTGCTTTATTCATTAATTATTAAAAATTAACGTTGATCAACTGATGTGATATTTTTATTGTTTTTATGTTGATATTGTATTTTAATTATTTTTATGCTAACATGACATTTTTTTTATTTTTTATTTTTCTCATTAATAATTAAATTATATTTTTTAATTAATTTTATTCAACCAATAAGACGATGATACATATCATTATGTTATAAGAATAAACTATATGATTTGAAGTTTGATACCCTTGAAAGGGGTTATCCTATCACTATATCAGACGTAATTTTAAAGTGAATTTCTCATGATTCAAATCTTGATTTCTTGTGCACTGTTATTTATAAAATTATTTCCAAAGTCATGGTAAATTGGCTTCGCCTATACTACCAGCTTGCATTGATAATAATCAAGGTGCTTTTGTCCTTGGTAGATCGATCACTGACAATGTACTAATCGCCCATGAAATTATCAATTATCTGAAGAATAGTCAGGCTGGTTCATCCTGTGGTGCGGCTTTAAAGATTGATATGGAAAAGGCATATGAAGTGTTGAGTGGCCTTTTCATCGAGCCATGTTGCTTCAGCTTGATTTTGCTGAACAGTGGGTGTCGTTGGTGATGTTGTGTGTTACTTCTGTTACATACCAAATTCGTATCAGCGATAGTTTATCTGATAGTTTTCGGCCGTCTTGTGATCTTCGCCATGGTGACTTGTTATCCCCGTTTTTATTCGTTTTATGTGCTCAAGGGCTATCATCGCTTCTACATTGGGAGCAGCAACAGAACCGGATACAAGGATTAAGAGTGAGTCGATTTGGTCCACGTGTTACTCATCCCTTTTATGCATGTGATTGTCTATTTTTCTTACGCAACACCGAGTCTGAATTTACTAGAGTTCGTGATGCACTTGTTTTATATGAAAGTTAATCTGGACAGAAGGTGAGTTTTGCGAAGTCAAGTATCTACTTCTCTCCCTCTACTCAGATGTGGTTACAAGCCAATGTTAGTGCTATTATCGGGATTGATTCGGTTTCGAATCCGGGTTTGTATCTTGGGATGCCTCTACTAGTTGGTCGCAACAAAACTCAAGCTTTCTGCTTTGTTCGAGATAAAGTCTCTTCAAGAGTTCGAGGATGGACAAAAAATTTAATCTCTTATTGTGGTCGTGCAGTATATATAAAGGCCGTGGGACAGGCATTGTCGACGTATGTCATGGGTTGTTATTAATCACAGCTTCCCTCCGTGCTTATTGGCGGACTGAAGAATCTTCATCTTGGGGATGGCCGCTTGTTGCTTGGCAAACTTTATGTCGACCAAAGAGAATGGGAGGATTTGTGTTCCATGATCTTAGACTGTTCAATATGGCGATGCTTGTCAAGCAATAATGACGGATTCTTCAATAGCCCCAGAGTCTCGTGGCTCGTATATTTAAGGCGAAATACTTTCCATTAGGTCATATTTTTCTGGCCTCTATCGGTGATCACCCATCATTTGCATGGAGGAGTCTGTTTAATGCAATCCAGGAACTTCGCCACTACTTCCATTGGCGTGTCGGAATAAATGTCAGGTTCCCATGCATTCTGCAACTTGGGGTGGTGTTGTTCCGATTCAGTTTGAGACTACATTCTCGAATGGTACAGTGCAACCTGTTCTTTGTGGTGATTTCATGCTTCCGGATGTTCCTTGCTGGAATGTCCCTCTGGTACAACGGATTTTCACGGCCATAGATGTGAACTCAATTCTCCAGGGTGCTATATCTCATGTGCCTTCGGATGTGCTTATATGGAGTGGCCATTCATCAGGTACGTACTTTGTCCGCTCAAGTTATCGATGGCTTCTTCAGCGTCACACACCAACAGTTCATGTATCCGGGCTTTGGTTATTTCTCTCGCGATTACACACGCTTCCTCAGGTTCGTATGTTTGGCTGGCGTGCTGCTCATGAGGCTTTACCGGTTGACTGCAGACTCGTCCATGTCGACACACCGGACGTTCGTTGATGTTTATGTGGCTCTCCCGAGGAAACCGTCTCCCACGCTCTGCGGGACTGCTCGATGGTCTCTCCAATCCTGGAAGAGGCTGGCTTCGGGTGGAAAGGGCTGTAGGGAGCTTTTCATCTTTTGGTGCATGGATGGAGAACATGATGCTGAATTTAATCGCGGTTGCGGTCACATTTTCGGTAATTTCGAGTTTACTGTGATTGCGGCCGTCGCATGCGCTATTACGGGTGTAGCGGATAACTCAGACGACACCAAAATCACTATTTTACAGACAAAATCACGTTTTCATACGGTAATTTGAAACCCGGGCAACAAGTTCAAAATCCAGCGACGGGAACCAATGGAATCTTAAATTATTTATGAAAAATATGATTAATAAATTATTTAAAAAATAAATACAATTTATATAGGACATATTTTATTGAGTCATTTAATTACTAAAAGTTATGAAATAGTCATCTAACTATTTATATGTTCCAAGCTTATCATTTTCTGTCAAAAAATTTAATGCAGTCTAAGTTTGACATTAACTTACAGGCTAGATATGATAAAATATGATAATAGAATCTCAAACGACTATCATATTTCAATCAGTGTGTTAACGTCCAACTCAAACAATCATCAATTTTTAGTGGAAAATAACGAGTTTGGAACATATCAATAGTTGAGTGATCATTTTGTAGCTTTTAATAGTCAAAATACTTAATAAAATAAATCCCAACAATTAGAGGACCATTTTATAATTTTTAATAATGAGTGTACTTAGGACCATTTGTGTACTCTATCAATTTTAATTTAGGTAAAGTACACAAATGATCATCCGATTATAAAGTACAATTTTATTAAGTCCATCGATTATTAAAAATTATAAAATAGTATTTCAATTATAGAGTATTGCTTTGTTGAGTCATTGGACTATCAAAAGTTACAAAATGGTCGACAAACTATTTATTATGTTCCAAACTCATCATTTTTCGTTAAAAATTTGATGGTATTATGAGCTAAACGTTGAGTTATTGAATGCAATATGATAAAATTTGATCATAGAATTTTAAACAACTATCACATCTTAATCATTATGTTAATTTCTAGCTTAGACAATTGCTAATTTTTTAATAGAAAATGACAAATTTAAAATATAATAAATAGTCAAATAACTATTTTGTAACTTTTAATAGTCGAAATACTTAACTAAGCAACATTATATAATTAAAGGACTATTTTATAATTTTTAATAATATTTAATGAAACAGTATCCTATATACAGGACACCATTGTGTACTTTACCCTTTTAATCCTCAACGATCAACACTTCCAGTTAGGTTTTGGTACAAAAATCCTCATTTTTTTCTCTTGATTTGCTGGTGTTTTTTGAAATATGGCAGGGAGAGAAGTTCGTGAGTACACCAATCTGAGCGACCCAAAAGGCAAGTATGGAAATCGAAACTTGAATTGGAAGGCTTACTGATTTCTTCTTCTTCTTGTTCTTCTTTTTTACTCAATAAAATGATTGATTGCAGATAAAAAATGGGGGAAAGGAAAGGACAAACTTGACGATGAAGATATTGCTTTCCAGCGTATGGTTGCCAAGGTTAGAGCGTCGCCTCTCCCATGTTTTTTCTTGTCCTGAATTTAATTTATGGGAACGTTGTTATTTGGGCCTGAATTTGATTCATTCTCTTATTACTGTTTCTTTTGGATATCGTTTGTTTTAATGGAATTTGCTCTTTGTGGATATCTCCATTCTCTGATTTTCAATGAATCTGCCCTTGTTGTCAATGGGAACGCATTTGTTTATGGAGTTCTCTCTATTTAATATGTTACAGCATTCATTTGAGAAAAAGGCCATCATCAATTCACCGTTTCGTTGCGTTGTTCTTATACTTCACCCTCTAGAGCATGTATCCAAATCAAAAGATTATGAGACTCCATTTGTTTTGCTGAAAATGGCTTCCGAAAATTAGTTTATCTCAGTTTCTCGTTGTTATGGCAGAAAATTAATTGGACAACATAAAATATTGGGAATTTGTGTCTTTTAATTCGCAAATGCTTCTGAAAGTAGAGAAAACTACCCAAACTCTTGGTGTTATCAAAGACCCATGGCATCCTAACAGACACTATCCGAAGTCTTCTCTCAACGCCTCCGTTTTTAGCTACCGGCAGCATCCCTCTCCTTTTTCTCATACTCCTTTACACTGCCTATGATTTGCCTTCCGTTTCCATGTTCTATGCTTCCCTCTTTGCTCTACTCCATTACCCTCTTTCATTCATCTTCCGTAAACCACTACATCCGGTGTTGCAGTGTTTTGTGGTTGTGAAGCTCAATGTGTAGAAATCCAACTTTGCACGCATCGGCCGCTGTCAACTATATTTATTTTCATTTTCAATAATTGCCACTCCATTTCTCATTTGTTTGGACGTTTTCCCCCTCTTTTGTGGTTGGCAACTGAGTTTGTGATCTTTTATAAGCTCTGATTCATTTGCTCAAAATTTTATCCTAACTTGCCTTTGGTGATGATGCTAATTTATCGATGATAAAAAAGCATGGTTCAGGTAGCTTTAGCAGATTTGTATATAAATTTGTGTACTTGATGATCTGATGGTAGTTTATTGGGTTTTGTTGTAGAGGATTATTAATATTAGGGTGCAGGTTATGGATAAAGAGGTTTGAAAAGAGCAACAACAGAATATTTTCAATATCCAGAGAATAAAATTCTTCAAACTGTTAGAGAAAAAATGTTTTTTCCTGTTAAGCATGTGAAACGAACATCGCCTTAAAATTCACAACTTTGCTCGGTCTTTCCACGTGTGGCTCTATTTAATGGTAATTCCATCCAATAACTTCAATTATCTCAAACTTCCCTTTGCTGCTAATGCTAATTGTATCCCTTAAAATTCACAAGTTGTTTCTATATTGTTTTGATTAATAGAGGTGTACCATTCCACACTATATCTTATGTGATCTGAACTTTGGTGAGTATTGAATATGACTATGGGAATTATGACGTAACGTCTCATTTCTGAAACTCGCTTATCTGTTTAGCATTTTGATTTTTGTTCTTTCATGTATTCATCTCCAGTCCAGTGGCATTGGTATTGTCTGGGATTTATAGAAAGATTTTAGGACGGATGGCTCAAAGCTCAGGGAAGGTAAGCGAGATAGTAACTTTGTTTGTGCAAAACATTCCACCTAGATATCATTGGAGTGGGTTGAGCCAACTATTCGGGAGGCATGGAGATGTGATTAGTTCTTATATAGCTAGGAAAAATGATAGAACAGGAAAACGCTTTGGGTTTGTTAGATTTTCCAATAGAGATGACACAGTTAGAGCAATCCAAAGATTTAATGGATTCTGGTTATTTGGTTATCGATTATCAGTCAACGAAGCTCGGTATGGAGCTAGGAAACAAATTTGGAAACAAAAGTATCCTTCATCTTCCATTGCTACTCCCAGGGTAGAACAAGGTAAAAGCGTTAGTGGAGATAGTCCGGAGGATCTAGCAAGAAGGAGGACTAGGTTAATTCAGGGCGATGTAGATGAGGAAGCTGCTCGAAAGCTCCAGAAGTGCCTCGTAGGAACGATGGCGTCGTTTTGCTCTCTCAGTCAGGTGGTAGACAGATTACAAGCAGGAGGTCTAGGAGAAATTAAGACCAAGTTCCTGGGAGGGAGAGATTTCTTTTTGCAAATAGATGATGAGGAGTCGTACATAATTTTAAAGGAGCAGAACTGGGTGTTTTTAAATGAGGTTTTCCAGGAAGTTCAACCTTGGTAAGAATCTTACAGAGCGTCGGAGAGAGTAACATGGATTAAACTGGTTGGAATGCCACTTCACTGTTGGAATCATAGCACCTTTAAGAGGTTAGCATAGCTTTGGGGAGAATGCTTAGTGCTGGGAGATAACGCTCTTTAGGAATTGGGCTGCGAGGAGATGACTATTATGATAGCAACTAGCAGGAAAGAATTAATTGATGAAGTGGTAGACTTGGAAGCAGGTAGAGATATTTTTAGAATTTTAGTAGTGGAATTTCCCATAGTTGAAAGTGATTCTCTGCTTCGGAAGTTGGAAGTAAAAGAAGGTGCGGTTGTTGTCAATTCTGAATCGCCGGCAGGAAGTAAAGTGGATGCATCGGTGGAGAAGATTTTCGAGAGGTGTTCTGAGGAGGAAGATAGCCTATTTTGCTGTATGGAGAACAGAGCTGGAGGCAGAACCTTGTTGGCTGAGGGCGAGGAGGATAGGAACATAGGGGAGGAAATTATTATGGGTCTGAGGAATAATACTGCTGGTCAGGGGATGGTTCAAATGCAAATCGAGGAAGTGCTGGATCATGCGCAGAGAGAGGCAAAAGATGACAACAGGAATTGTTGTAAGACTGCATGTGCTAAGGAGGGAGTGAAGGATTATTTAATTGATTTGCCCATCAAAGGTGGTGCACGAAATTGAGGGGTGAATTATTCTCGCACAATTCCAACCATATCCAGAAAGCTAAGGAGGGGAATTTTTTTAAACACAGCTCTCTCCAAAGATTTCATAAGAATTATTCGGCTCCCAAAAGGAAGACTAGTTACTGCCGAAGCAAGTATTATCAGAAGAAGGTGCAATGCGAGGAAGTTTTGTCTGATCTTGATGGCAGATTCCTTTATGATTGTGACTTTCCAACATTGGGGCAGAGTCAAAAGATGGAAGCGACAGAACCCATACTGGTCGGGAAAGATCTGGGTATAGAGTCTAATGGCTCAGTAGTGATTTTGAATTTGGAACATTACAGCTGAGGAAGTTTTGGAAGGTGACTTGCATATGATCATTGTTTTTGGAGTTGGAGGTTCGGATGGTCTCCGTCGACAAGTCGAGCAATAAGTAGCAGAAAGGCGGATAGAGTGTTTTCGAAGCTTGCTTCTCTGCACTCTTATCATGTGGAAGCTTATGGCTTTTGTGCTAGATTGTGGCTTCTATGGATTGAGTCAGCTGTTTTATTTCGCTTTTTTTTCAGTTGGTTTGTTTTGTGGTGTCTTTCGGGCCAAGTTCAAGCTTTAAGTCTGGTCAGTCATATTAGAGGTTGATGCTGTAGCAAAGGTGGATTAGGCTGAGTCAGTGCTGCTGTTTAGGGTTGTATTCAATAGTTTTTTGTGTTTTGTTTTATGTTGGGGTGGCTCTCTGGATGTATCTTGTAATTTCTTATGTTTAATGAAATCTTTAGGCACTCTTTTCCTCCTTCCGCTGATTAAGGAGCTTTTCTATAAGATCCTTTAATCAAGAAGGGGTTTTTTAACGAGGCCTTCAATTCCTATCAAAAAAAAAATATGACTATGCATCTAATGAGGGTATTTAAATTTTTTTCCAAGTTCTCCCATATATTATAGGGCCTGAATCTGCATGCTTATGGCTGTTGAATACGTGATGCTATCACTTCAAAGGAAATGAAGAGTTCGTAACATGTATCATATCTTTAACGGTGCTAGGACTAGTAGTAGAAGGAATGACGCTGTTTGCAATAGTTTTAATAAGAAATTTGGTTGTCACTAATTTCTTGATATAAATACGAAAGTTGTGGTAGTTTTCTGATAACATGCCCTGGCAGGGAACTTGGCTTCTCCCATTGGGCTTTTGATACAAGCAGATGCAAGAGGTTGCTGGAGAACGTGGAGGCTACCTACACGGGCGGGGCGGTAGCTTTCCTTTATCTGTCCCTACATCTTGAGATAGATTTTTCTTTCTCTGTCCCCTACATCTTTAGATAGATTTTTTCTTTAGGTAAATCTACATATTATTATGTATTATGTCTGCAGCTTTGGACAGTGATGATTTGCTCTATCTCAAGGAGCAGATGGAAGCAGAGGAGGATGCTGAACGCCTCCTGCGCCGCACTGAGAAACGAGCATTTGCAGCATTTAAGATATCCTTAAATGTTCAGCTAACTAAGCAATACCTGAGATATGATAGTTTGAATACTTTTTGTGATTCTTGCTCTATATGGCATGTAGATTTTGAGCTTTTTTGTTTTACATTTGGTAAACATTCTTTGAATTCACTTTCACACGCTTTTAGAGAATCGGTTTCTTGTGATATTTTCACTATATTTCTGTCATTGTGGATGCACAAGTATTATGTGCTGGAATATGTGGATTCATCCTTGCAACTTTTATTTGCAAAGAGCTCAGGATTGTAAAGAAAAAAAGTTCTTTTGTTTGTTATGACGTTCCTCGCATCTTAATTTTACTCGAGTGCTTATCGTTACCGATAAAATTTCTCATTTCTATGTTGCAAGTCCTAGAATTTTAGCATTTGTTCTCACTTTGTTTTCTAAGTCGCATTAGATTACACGATGAGTTGTTCCATATTACGCAAAGAAGGTCGGTCTTGAATGCTGTATAATTCTACGGTTGAGCTCTATTGTTAGCACCCTGAAGTCTTCTTATTTGGCATTTGTTTTATATCAGTTCTCACTTTTTCTTAACCATTTGACACAAAGCTGCGAGTTTAGCTGATTGTGCACCTGCATCCTTTCCTTTGCCTCTTCGAGTTGAGCCGAAGCCAAAGAGCGGAATCAGGTCTTTCTCTCCCTCTCCTCTCTTCCCATAAACCCGCGAGATCACTTCCTGCTACAAGTGCACTTGTAAAATATGTATAGTTACAATTTCGAAACTGTTGTATCACATTGTTCTAGTTACCACTTTCAGTTGTCTTCTTTATCATGCAGGCAGCAAGATTTGCTGAAAAAAGTCGTGGAAGTTAAACCGAAACGCGCCAAATTTTCAAGCCCCTCCAACTCTGAGCCTGAGGCGAATCGATCCAATTTACGATCCCAGGAGCAGGAGTTCAACCATGAGAAGAATGAGCAGCATCGTGTCCCGGAATCAAATACAGAAGGAAAGCAGGATAAGTTGGAAAATCCTTCCAAATCCTTACTAGGCTTAGCCTATGCAAGTTCTGATGATGATGAAGATGATTGATGGAAGACCAATGCTTTGCATGCATGCATTTCAGTTGTAATCTATATGAACATGATGGCTGTCATCTTTTTGTAATGTTTAATATCATCATATTTGACCTTTGGTATTTTAACAAAATTTTCAATATGATATCTTTTTCATAACATTTTCGGCTGCGTTTATTTTCATCCTTTTTTTAGTCTTGTCGTACCACAGAACTTCCCCAATCATGACGTCTAACCTGAATCCATAGCTTAAATTTGTGAATTTCATGATGAAAGTACTCAGGGACGATTTGATTTCAGGATCCTACGGGTACAATTGATGCTAGCATGCATGGGAAAGTCCTAGTTGGAGGAGGATTTGCAAACAACACAACTGTTGGCTCGGTTTTGATACTGCAGAAGTTTTTTCATTGCTTTATTTTTCCACTTGGGCCAATATTAACATAATTGTAGTCATGAATGGTGAATGCTTGTAGAATATGGTGTTATCTACTTAGAATAAGGACTAAAATTATACTGTAAATCCATATGGTTTCTACTAGTAGGCCTTCCTGCTGTAGAACTTCATGTGTTAGTCTCGTCCTATGTTTCGAGGCTTAAATTGAAGAACTGTACATGCAGGTTTCAGTTTTCTCATCTCCGCTCTCTGCTCGCTATCTCAATATAACGCTCAACAATATTGTCAATACTAAAGCTAGAACCTTTGCCTTTGTCCTATGTTTCCCACCTTTTCTTAGTTACTTTCTCTTGATTGGGAAAAGAGGTGCTCTGCAAGGTTTCTTAATCCCCGAGTTTAATGTACTGAGATTGTTGGGAACCATATCTCCGGTGGCTCATGCAAAACAAACTGATACAATTCATATAAGAATGTATGGCCTTCTGCAAGTGCTGAATATAGGTGCTTTAAGCAGTCCCTGTCACAGCATGCTTGTGAATATAGGTGCTTTAAGCAGTCCCTGTCACAGCATGCTTGTGAATATAGGTGCTTTAAGCAGTCCCTGTCACAGCATGCTTGTGAATATAGGTGCTGAATATTTGTGCGACGCTTGATCAATATTACCTGCCTGCAGCACTTGGACTTGGCTCCTTGTAACATTTCTAGTATAGCAGAAGAAGAGATGCAAAGAGTTGATCCAGAAAATTTATTCTGAAGTGGTTAAAGTTTTCTGTAATTTACTAATTTTGCAGGCAATCCCAAAGGATACCAAGTCTCTGTCGGAGCAAGGCTCATATCTTACTGCCCATGCCATTGGTCAGTAACATTTCTCTGTTTTCTAAGCAGGCACTACTTGGAGTACAATTGATCATTTCTTGGTTTCTTTTCCCTATCCAGTAGTAGGTTGTATGAGGACAAATTCAGTGCCTGGCTTAAATTTGGAACTCAATAACCCTTTGTCATAATGTCAAAAATAGCCCCCAACGTTTATCAGAATTATCATTTTGAGCCTTATTCCTTTTTTTGAAGCATTTCGACCTCCGATGTTTTATTTTAGGGCAAAAAGGCCCCTCACGTCTGACTGAATAGTCACTTTGACTCTTATTCTTTTTTATTATTCAGCATTTTGGCTCCCCTAATGTTCCATTTTAAGGCAAAAAAGCCCCTAACGTTTGACTGAATAGTTAATTTGACTCTTATTTTTTTTCTTCTTCAGCATTTTGGCCCCCAATGTTTCATTTTAGGGAAAAAATGTCTCTAACATTCGACAGAATAGTCATTTTGGCCCCTCCCCCAACGTTTCATTTTAAGGGGAAAAATGTCTCTAACATTCGACAGAATAGTCATTTTGACCCTTATTCTTTTTTTTTCTATTTAGCATTTTGCCCCTCCCCCAACGTTTAATTTTAGGGGGGGAAATGCCCCTAACATTTGACAGAATAGCCATTTTGATCCTTATTCTTTTTTTTTTCTTTCAGCATTTTGCCCCCAACATTTAATTTTAGGGGGGGAAATGCCCTATTTGGGTGTGTTAACCGTGTGTTAATTAAAGGTTTCCATCCATGGTGGACATTTTTGTCTCAAAATTAAACGTTAGAGGTCAAAATGCTAAAAAAAAAAATAGAGCCCTAAAAGACCATTTTGGTAAACGTTGGGGGGGCTATTTTTGGTATTATGCCTAACCCTTTGTATTTTATCTTTGGATGGACCATAAGGTCACTCGTTTTATCATGGCTCTTGTGAGATTGTTTCAATAGTAAAACCTGAATGTTATTCCGACTGTTGATCCACCTTCTTGCTACAGGAAACACTAAAAAGACTTCGGATCGATAGAAATTGTCGAGTTTGTTAAATGCAAACATCATTAATAGCCTCAAACAGACTTGTTATATGAGAGGGAGAGTGCCGAATGATAAAGGAATTGATGGAGATGAAGCATTGGGGCAGCAGCGTATTGGCAGCCGAATGAAAAATGCTGCAGTGCTTGATGTCACCAACGAGCTAGAGGAAAGCGTTGCGGTCGAGAAGACGCCGAGTCCACAGAATCCGACGGAGGGATATGATCAGTCGAAAAGCAGCCATAGCAGTGGTGATTCAAACTTGTCCAGCTTCTCGTACAAGCGGGAAAGTGTAATCATCGATGAAGGTAAGAAACAAAGAATGGTATCAATTTCACTTCCACAATGGACTGATGAACAACTAGATGCTGATTTGCCATATTTCATTGTTGGTGTGGATAATTTTTATTGTAAGTTTTAAAGAAAAAATAAGTGTTTAAACTATACCGTTATTCAGTGTTTCCCGTGTATAAACTTTTTTTCGGGTTAATTCAGATGTCTAACGTTTCCAACGTTACACTTTTAGGTGTTTCAATTGTAACAAATGTTAAATTTTGCCGTTAAATGACATGTGTCATGCTTAGGTAATTTTATTTTTTTTAAGAAATATAAATTTTTAAAATTTTATAAAGGCGACACATGTCATTTAATGATAAAATTTAACTGCGGTAACAGTTCAAACACCTAAAAATATAATTTTAAAAACGTTAGACACCTGGATTGACTGAAAATAGTTTAGAGACCTAAACGAGAAAGTGTATATTTTGGAAACTTATTTTTATATTAAACGTTATTTTAAAATTAAGAATATTTCCAAGATTTTTTAATGTCACAATTATTATTTTTACTCCATCCGTCCCACTAAATGTGTCTCTTTTTATTTTTAAAATTATCTCATTCAAAATATCTTATTAGATAAGTCAACAAACAACAATATTTATATTTCTTTTTTGGTTTAAGGGTAACTTTTGCCTTTGTTAATAAAAGGCTAAAAAGTGATAAAAATCGGTTGTAAGTGAAAACCGTACTAAGAACATAACTTTTTAGGTCGGACATGATAACATTTTAGATTAAAATCGAAAATATTACATTCTCCATAACATTTTCAATTGTAATTGATTTTTTTACAAATCTCATAACTTTTTCTAATGTGAACTCTAAATCCACCACAATGTAACATTTTGAGTATTACAAATTATTTAACTTTTTTATATTGAACATGATAATATTTTAGGTTAAAAATTATTTTAAATTAGATTGTCGCACAACAGAACTATCCCTGTAACACTCCTATTTGATTTAAAAGATTGATTGAGCATGAGATGTCACCTGAGCAATTTCGAGATTAAATTTAAGAATTTTATGAAAAACTTTAAGTAATTTTAAACATAATTTTTTTAAAGTGATTTTGAAAAATTAAACTTAAAATATCATATCTTATTTAAGATTTATAGTTTTAAGGTTTAAAATTTTAAAATAGGTTAATTAAACATTTAGTATCTCAACGATCACTTTTATTTTATTTTGATCAACCAACTATTTTTTGTTTTAAACTCATACTTAACTTTACGTTTTAACTTCATTTTGTCCACCCATTGTTAAATAATTAATAGTGGCATTGATGTGTCATCATAAGGTAATATCACATCATCATTGTATTTTTTAAAATGTCATGTCAATAATTATGTTAATTTTTTTAACAATGAGTGATTAAAATGAAACTAAAACGTGACTTTAGGTATGATTTTGAAAGAAAAAAAAATTGGAAACTAGTATAGAATAAAAGTGATAATTATGATACTAACATATAATTTACCCAATTTAAAATTTAGAGTTTTGACGTTAAACTCTAATATTTAAGATTTTAGGATCTACATTAAAATAGATTAAATCTAAAATCATAGAGTACAAAATTTATACAATCTATGTGTCAAGTAAATTTTATTAAAAAATATGTAAACATTAAAGATTGGTTTTAAGGAAAATGGTCACTTTTGTCTCTATAGTAGAGTCAATTTATCATTTTCATCCATATCGTATTCTCGTATAATTTAACTCTCGAAATTGCTCAATTGCATCGATATTTAATATATTTACTATTGTTTAGGGTTTTAAGTTAAGGGTTAGGGTTTAAGTTTTGTAGTTTAGAGGTTTAGGGTTATGGTTTATAGTTTAGGGTTTAGAATTTAGAGTTTTAAGTTAGAGTCAGGGTATAGAATGTTACAATTAAATAACTATGAGGGCTAATTTGATACGAAAATACAATAGTGACGAAAATGATAGATTGTGTCTACGACAAAGGCAAAAGTGAACTTTTTGCCTTAATTTTATCATTATATTTAAAAACAAAAACTACAATATTTCTAAATTCACTTACACTACGTAAAACTAATAATTTTTACATTAATCTATAATAATTAGATTTAAATAAATAAATAACTTAGATTTAGTTTAAAATTGTAACTCATAAATCAATATTTCTTTAACTCACAGTAAAAGAATATTTTTTAGGGTTAAGATTTAAGGTTTAAGATGTAAGCTTTAGAGTTTAGGCTTTATGATTTAGGGTTTGAGGTCTAAGTTATAGATTTAAAGTTTGGGATTTATGAGTTTGGGATTTGAGATTTGAGATTGGGGTAAGAAGATATATCATTTTGATATAAGTTAAAAGTAGTATTTATTATGGGTTATAAATTTTAATTAGATTTACAGTAAATTACATCTTCTTCACTAAATTTTACTTTCTCTCCTATTTTATTCATTGTACTTTTAATTTTTCTGATTTACTCACTGAACTTTTGAATTGTTTTTGTTTTATATAATGTGGCATTTTTATTATTATTTAACATAAAAATAATTTAAAATATAAATAAAAATAGAAGGTGGCTGGTGACTGTTGTCGGTGTTGGATGCCACCATCGGCTGCCATCAACTGTCGTAGATATTGGTTATTCGGTCCTAAATTTCATATGTCATTTCGCCTCGACACCCTGATTCCGAATCCGACCTCTATTTTGTCAAAACTTTCTCCAAAGTCCACGAATTAGAGATTGAAAGTAAGGAAGCCGAAATATTTCAATTGAGATTAATGGGTTTTGGGATATTTTCCGATAAAGCAACCACCTTGTAGACACAGTTTTTTCCCCTTATTAATATTATAATATTATTATTATTATTAAATAATAATTATAAATACATTACAGACCCTATTTACAACAATTAAACCAGAGGGCCCGATTACTAGTTTGAAGGCCTAATTGATTTACAAGAACCCGGAGGCCCAGATTCAAGAATCCCAACCCGGCCTATATTCGGTCCAGACCCGATCCGGCCCAGATGACTTGAGAAGGGCCAGAACTCGTTTAGGGTTTCCCCATCTCATCTCAACTGCCAAAAAGCTTAGCCGTTGGATCTGTAGAGATCCAACAACCCAGAATGATTCTAACAGAAACCCTAGGATTCACCACCCTTAGGGTGATTTCGGCACCGCCTCCAACTGCTTTGTGTTCCCCAACCAGCTGATGCCACGACACCAACATCACACTGAAGCCTCCTGTGGCCTCCCAAGCACCGCACACGTCACAATTCACCAAGGCCATCATTGTGACGAGAGTAGCATCGATGGTCTATAAAAGGCCATCCCCTGCAAGAGATCGAGGAAGGAGGAAGCAAGAGAGAAATACGAATATACAAGGAGAAATCGAACACATACAGCAACCATACCAACAAATCAAATAATAACAAAGAAGGGAGAAAAGGAGACTTACCACATCATCGGAGCTTCCATGCACCTCCACGCACCGCCGAAGAACCGAAACGTCGAAGGTATTTGTTTTAGATCTAGGAAATTTTGGGGGGTTTTAGGGGAAACGGATGTTGGATTGAACTTTAGGTCGTTCGAATCTATAAATTGGAGTGATTAGACATTTTCTGGCCACCGTGAGTGGTGGCCGGCGGTGGTCATCGGCGTCGCAGCACAGCCTCTGGCCAATGACCGACTTCCCTCAGGCGAGGGAATTGTAGAAAGAAGGGAGAGCTTCTCTCTCCTAGAGAGAGAAACTAAAAGGAAAAAAATGAGGAAAAAATGACATAAATGGTCGGTTATAGGCCTATTTATATACATCCCCAAACCACGCCATTTTGGGGGGTCCCTTTGTAATTTCGAGCATGGTAAAATCATATCCAAAGTCCCTCCGTGTTTATAAACTTTATGTTTTAGTCACTGGAATTACATTTCTGTGTCTTTTAATTTGGTATTTAAATTTTATTAGTTTATATTCTAGTCCTTGCATTTTATTCACATATATTTAGGGTGAATAACATATTTAATCCCTAAAATTATATTTTTTATTCCGAATTAATTAATTATGAATAAATTACACTAATAGTACCTATATTTTATAATAATTTGAATTAGGGCTATTAATTTATATATTTTATAATTTAATATTTTTTTTATTTTAGTCACATGAATATATGTATCCTGCATACTAAAAGTTAAACCAAACTACAAAATAGTGAATAATTAAAAGTAATAATAAAGGCATAAAAATAGTTCTGAGAGTTTACCTTACTATTGGGAAGATATTAGCTATTGATGACTGCATTCATTCGGTGGAACCATTATCGTTTCAAATGTTAAGCTCATTCCAAGAACCAAAAATTATGAGTTCAATTGGTGATTTTATCCTGTTTAAGTCGTTTAATTAGGTGATTTTAATTTGTATATAATTAAATTATTAAAATATCAATAGTGAAAACACTTGTAAATGCATGTGAACTCATTTATTTTTATATTAATATAAGTGGATCTATTTTAATATATATGACAGATCACACATTAATCAATGAGCTTAGAATAGGTTAATTAGGCTTAGCCAAGATGGTCGACATAGTTGGTAAGAATAGTATAGTTTTGAAATTGATGTAAAGCTGGCATAATCGTTCACCTAACCCAAGAAAAAAACATTAATAATTAAAGGTTGCCATATTCATCATAGTTTTAATAAAACTAATAATCAATTTAAACTTTGAGTTTAGTAAATTGTAATAAATTATATTCATTTTTTATATCCTAATTATTTTAAATATGTTTTCTTTGGAAAAAATTATCATATTCATATTATTTCAGTTGGAAGGAGAAATATTCATCCTAAAGTAATTTAGGGATTAATTTCTCTTCAATTGGAAATATTGAAATATTTTATATTTTTTCATAGAATTATGAAGTTGAATCTGAAATAACAGAATCTTAAATTAAATTTATATTTGAATTCTTAGACTTTCACTACTAGAAATAATTTTATAATCGATGGGTACCAATTTTAGGCATTGTGGGATGTTAATCATTCTCCAAACGTAACCGACTCCGAATCCTTTTTTATTACTAAAAAGAATGAATTTCTAGTTATACGCAAACTGATTTATCTTTTAAATGGTGTCTTCTTAAAAACTCTTTTAAAAGATGATTTTTAGGAATTCGACCTACTTAACCAAAAAGGTTTGATGGTGACTCCAAAACATTTTATTAAAAACCATTTACTTATTCACATACTTTTCCGCAAAGAAACATTTGTGCCCGGGCGAAAACCGGTTACGACACACCTGATTTGAACTCAATGAGTAGAGGTGAATTGATCCATGAAATTTGGGGTCGAACAGCCGCCATTTACAGCAATCGACGGTGACCAACGATGGCGTCCAACACTAGCGAAGAGTGGAACACCACCTTCTATTTTATTTATTTTAAATTATTTTTTATATTAAGTAATAATAAAAAATTTCATATCATACTAAAATAATAATAAAATAATTCAGAATGATTAAAACAAGAACAATTCAAAAGTTTGATGAATAAATTAAAAAAATTAAAAATACATTTAGTAAAATAAAAAAGAGTAAAGTTCAGTTAATAAAATTTATATAATTATATATTTAATCCTCAATAAATACATATTATATCAATTTAATCTTAATTTTAATTGAATTCAATTAATTAACAATCCAATCCAATCAGGTAATTATATTATCGTATGTTTATTAAAAAAAGCTATATTATTCTATATGTATTGTTAATCATTTTCATGGGACTTTATTCAAGCATTATTCTTTGCTCAAACTTTCGGCAAAGGGTGTTGTCTACTCCTTTAATTCTTTGCTTCAACATGCTGATAGGTAAGGGTTAAAGTAAAAAGAACTTTACGCTTTTCAGACATATAATCAATGGTTCTACAAACCAAAAATTCCCCCACACTTATTGTCTTTTGCTCACTCATGGATCTGTCTGCTGTTTCTTCCGCTCTGTAAACAATCGGCGAGTTAAGTAACGTCCTTGTTGGGTGTGGATGAGCAAGTTGAGAGCTTGGGAAGGGAGCTGAGATGGATCAAAGCTGCTTAATGGTGGCTGGTGCAAGAAAAGTCGATAACGAAGTGATACGTACCAGTGTTGCAGAGATCAGAGAGTTGGCCTACGATGTTGAAGATGTGCTCGAAACGTTTTCCCTCAAAGTTGCATCCAAAAGGAAAAGTGGTTTCTCAAATTGCATCAAAGGGTGCGGTTGTTTCCTCAAGGAGGTGTGTTTGCTCCACCGGACCAGTCGGAGATAGGGAAGATCACGGCCAGAATCGAAGAATTGACACGACGATTGAAGCCGTACAACGTAACAAGGCTGGGGGATCACGGTGAAGGGCCGAGTTCATCGACTGAAAGGCGAGAACAAGGCTGGGGGATCACGTAACAAGGCTTAGCCTCAAGAGGTGTGTTTGTATAGTTGGGGAGTCCTGTCCAGTACTCCAGTGTCCATGAGTTGAGTTAGGTTATTAATTATTTTATAATCATAAGCAATGTTACATCTTTCATAGTAGGAGTGTAGGACAGCAACCTCCCTATCATCAACTTGTTTAGCTTATCTTTTTACACAGAGTTAACTAGTAAACCTAGCATCATTAACTTGCTTGCCGACGGGCAAAGCGTATCGAAAATCCATCATTTCTAGTTTCAGTCCTGTTTTCGATTTCACATCTTTGGGAACTTGTATTCTAGATCTCATCTAATTTAATTTGTTTTCCTTACAGAAAACATGGTTGATGCGAAATTGAAGCAGTTGGGGGAGGAAATGGTTAAACATTGTGCAAGGCTTCCATTAGCCGTAGTCACGTTGGGAGGGATGTTGGTTACAAAGGACAACCCATTAAATGAATGGCTAAAGGTATCTGCAAATGTGAAATCATACTTGAAGAGGGGCAAAAGTGAAGGACCAGAAGATGTGTTAGCCTTGAGTTATGATGATTTGCCTCCCTATTTAAGGCCATGTTTTCTTTATTCAAGTCATTTTCCTGATGATTATGAGATATCCGTTGATAGGTTGAATCAATTGTGGGTTGCCAAAGGTATTGTTCTATCGAAGGACGAACAGATCCGAGACATTTGAATCACCTCCATTCAAGCTGCCTTATTCTCTGTAAGTTAAGTTTAGATGCGGAGATAAATGAGTTACCAAAGTACAACCTCTTGTCTCCGAATCTTGCGTACGTAAAGTTGAGCTTTTGCAGGCTTGAGGAAGATCCGATGCCAACACTAGAGAAGCTGCCTAACTTGAGGATTCTTAAATTGGATTCTGGGGCTTTAGTAGCAAACAAAATACTTTGCTCTGCACAAGGTTTTCCTAAACTTGAGTCTTTAGAGGTTAAATGCCTCGAAAACTTGGAGGAGTGGAACGTGGAAGAAGGAGCCTTGCCTTCTCTTCCGCGGATTGGAGATCAAATACTGCCGAGCGCTGAAGATGGTTCCGGTTGGATTGAGGTTCATTACAACCCTCCAAAAACTGGAGATTAAAGGAGTGTCAAAGGAACTCAAAGATAAAGTGGTGGAAGGAGGAGAGGATTTTAACAAAGTCCAGCACATTCCTTCTATCATATTCCAAGGTGAATGTGTTATCCCAAGCTAATTGTTTCAAGGCAATACTTAAGTTAGGCAGCTTCTCTAGTGTTGGCATTGGATCTTCCTCAAGCTTGCAAAAGCTCAACTTTATGTAAGCAAGATTCGAGGACAAGTGGTTGTACTTTGGTCGCTCATTTATCTCCGCATCTAAACTCAACTTACAGAGACTAATGCCGCTTGAAAGGAGGTGATTTAAATGTCTCGGGTCTACTAGTCCACCATGATCAATAATAGACCGGAAATGGAGATATTTTCCTTCAATGATGGGTGGATTCTTTTCAAGTTCCTCCTCATTAAAATCTTCGATCTCGAACGGGCCTCGAATCACCAACTCTCTAAGGTTCCACATGTTGATAAGATCCTTTAGATAACAACTCTTGGGATTGAGATTCACAAGTGTTTGCAGGTATCTCAAAGTACCCAACTTCAACTTCGTTTTACTATCATATTTCAAAAGGAGATATAGATGTCTTAGTTGCTTCATCATCCATATCTCAAAGCACCCGAAGATATGGAACTTGTGGAAAGGTGCATGATTCAAGTACGAAATAGGTAATCTCATCCATTTAAGATTCTTGTTTTTTGCTAAAGCCAAGGGAGTTTGGCGATACATGCACAATAGTTTCAAATTGCTAAGAGTCCTAAATTATGAAGGAAGATTGAAGTCTGTTGATTTTGCAGGATGCAAGTTACCCAATGATATAGGTAATCTCATCCATTTAAGATTCTTGAGTCTAAGGGATCTTGAGATCTAATGGTGGAAGTTACCGTCATCTTTGGGCAACTTAAGGTGCATGCAAACCTTGGATTTAAGACTTGGTAATAATATATTTCATACTGTTCATGTACCTAATGTGATATGGAGGATGAAGCAACCATATCCCTAAGGAATGTAGTCGTAAAATAAAGTTGAAGTTGGGTACTCTGAGAAACCTGCAAACACTTACGAACTTCAACCACAAGAGTTGTTATCCAAAGGATCTTATCCACTTAACAAACCTTAGAGAGTTGGTGATTTATGGGCCGATCGAGATTGAAGATTTTAACTATGAGGAGTTGGAGAGGAATCCACCCATCACTGTGGATGGAGCCATGCCCTGTTGGAGGATCATATCGGAGAAAAGTCCCAAGTTTCCTTGTAATCTAAAATATAAGAGAATTTGAAATTTTCAAAAGAGTGACATATATGTACAAGACCTTTTGAGTAGGCGCAGCATCCTTGTTCGGCAAACTTTCCTATTGTCCAATATTAAATGTGTAACTCTTAAATTATAGCTTGACTGCATCTAAGTTGATAATTGTGTGGACCTAATACTTATTATTTTGGGTCTTGCTTGATTGTGCTTTTAATGATGCTTGAATGATCAATTAGACATGCTAGGTTATTATGATTCCAAGCTTGAATATGTTTTATGTTCATTATTAAGGTAAATTACATTCGTTGAACTTTTGAATTACTCTTGTTATAATCATTCTGAAATATTTTATTATTTTTTTGTATAATGTGACATTTTTTATTATTATTTAATATAAAAACAATATAAAATAAAAATAGAAGGTGGCTGGTGGTTGTTTGTCTGTGTTGAATGCTACCATCGACATCATAGATGTTGGTCGTTCAGTCCCAAATTTCATATGTCGTTTTGCCTCGACACTCTGAGTCGTAACCCAATCTCCATTTTATTAGAATTTGCTCCAAAATTCACGAATTGGATATTGAAAGTGAGGAAGTCAAAATGTTTCAGTTGAGATTCACGGGTTTTATGATATTTTCCGGTGAAACAATTATCAGGTTTGGACTCGGGGGTAAGACAAACCAACCCATGAAATTTGAGACAAAATGACCACCATCTACAGCGATCAAAGATGATCGACGGTGGTGTCTAACACCGACGAACAGTGAACATCTACCTTCTATTTTAAATTATTTTTTATATTAAATAATTATAAAAAAATCCCATGTCATACGAAAATAATAATAAAATAATTAAGAGTGATCAAAACAGGAGCAAATCGAAAGTTCAATGAGTAAACTAGAAAACTTAAAAGTACAGTGAGTAAAATAGGGGAGGGAGTAAAATTTAGTTTGGCATGTGATTTTACCTTAAATTAACTTTATAATAGAGATGAATAATTTTTTTAGACTATTAAAAGAAGTAATAGACATTTATTATTTAAGCACACGTGGCGAGCACTTGTTCGTAGTTGAGGAGGGTGTAAAAAGGAGCAAAGAGATAGGGTATGATATTTCACGTCACCACATATGATATATGGTGATGGAATATTCAAATAAAAAATTCATACTAATTATCTATAAGTGATTAATCAATTTTGGTCCAATAATTGAGTCTTTTACAGATCATTTTCTTTTATAATTTCTGAAATTATTTTCTATTTTTAGTTTTTAAAAATATTTTGTTTTCTGTTATTTAAAAGTTGAAACGCATATGTTTAATAAATAGTAATAAATATCGAAATCATATCGAAAGTTATCATTCGTGACATCTATCTCATTATTCATTTCGAGTGATATAATATATGTTATGTCATCATTTTAAATGAAATGAAATATGTTACATTAATGTTTTAAACGATATGATATATATTATATTATCATTTTAAGTGATTTGACATATATCATACTATTATTTTAGTGACGTAGTCCATGCTACGTCACAGAGGCGGAGCTCTGTTGGGGCCTTGGTCCCTATAAAAAATTATATATTTGATAGATTTTGGTCTAATAGTATTTTGATTCATATAAAAATAAGTATTCAAATTTAAAAATATAAAGTTTTATTAAATATTTTAATTAAATAAGGGCGAACTAAGAATGATAATTACATATTCTGAAATGTTTTGGTCTAATAACAATTTAGGTCAATGTAAGTTTAAATATTAGACAAATTAAGTATTGTCTTATGAATTTTAAGTTTTTTTTATTAATATGGGGTGAATGAAATATCTGTTTAAAGATAATCTTTCAACCATTTGACATTGAACGCTCACACTCCCGACATTCTTGGTACTCGAATCCGAGACCTCAAAGAATAATGACAATTACTTTACTATCGAGATCGTTTGGTTCGTGCTTAAAGTTAAATACCTAAGAAGACGTTGTACTTTTTCTTAAAAACTTTAATATTTCGACCCCTGCCAATATTTAAGCCTAGCTCCATCCTTGTTATGTCATCAATTAAACGCGTGTAAAAATATTACGTTAGTAACATGTATTGATTGTTAGTCAAATAACGGTTTCCATCCAACATGAGGTAAATTTTATTCACAAGTTTTTAATAATTTGAGTTTTATTGACAATGAATGTCCAACCAGCCTTGTAGTTGCTGGTGCTCAAACCTATGACCTCTAGGAATAACAAAATTAAAATAGGTAGGATATACTTATTGGGGTTTATATTTTCATTCTATATGTAATCTTATAAAAGTGTTTGATGCAAATTGTTTAGTGCATAAAAATATTAAAAAAGGATGGATCTATTTATTCTTTATGTGGGGGATGCCACTACTACATCCAATATGATTGGCTCATATGAATTCATTTTTACTTTGTATTTTATAAAAGAGATCATGGGCATTAGTGGTACATTTTGTCAAGCTTTACAGTAAAAGTATTAATTTTATAAAATATATATTATTCCTTCAATTAATGAGTATGGATATATTTATTCAAAATTGAAAGGAAAAAAAGATGGTTGAAAAAAATGAAATGTAAAAATATTAATTTGAATGTTCCTAAATTGAAAAAAAAAAAGAGTAAATTACATAAATGATCACTTAACTATGGGGTTTGGTCTATAATTGATTATTACTTTAAATTTACGTCAATATGACTATTAAACTATTTAAATGGTTTCAATATGGCCTCTTGCTGTTAACATTTAACGGAAGTGTTTACGTGGCAGTTAACAAAATTAGTATAACTAGGGTGTGGGTCCTTGTAATGTTATGTATTCGCGGCTTGCCACCCTACTTTGTTTTCTTCCATTTTGGTCATTACTTGGATATGATTTGTTTCCTTGGATTTTCATTTAATGCAATTTGATCCTGATTATGTTTTAAATTTGTCTAGTGCCTTAATTTTAGAATTAACTTTAAAATCTTTTATTACAGTCATGTATTTAGTTTATATATTAATTTGTCAATTAAACGCTAAGTCAATTCTCACACTTGTTATCAAGATAATACATATGTTATACAGCTTAATCAGGTTTAGGCAGAAAAATGAAACTAAAATAACTTAATTGCATTCGAACCTAGGATCAATTAATAACCAAGCAAAGCATTAACCAAAAGGCTAAATATAATATTTAGGAATCAATTAAAATATTTTTTTATATATTATATATTATAGTTGATGATAAAATTAAAAATAGACAAGCGATGACTTAAATCTAGGCCAATTGAGAATATGATAACACTTAAATTGCTAAAAAATCTAATATATTTTTAAATTAATTTTATATTTATTTATTAAAGAGTATATATATAAATTATATTTAAAATTAAATTAAAAATTTATTTAACATACCCAAACTCATGAGCACCAAAAGATAAATTTATAATTTAAATCTTAAATATTTTTTCTTATGGTTATGATATGAATATTAAATTTTTTAATGATTTCATATATATAATCTTTAAAAATAAATATAAAATTATTTTTTCTGCCTTAACTTGAACAAGTTATATAAAATATGTATTATCTCAATAACAAGCGTGAAATTAGCTCAATGGTTAAGGATGTGGAGTTTACTCTTGGGTGTTAAAACTCATCTTCATTTATTTTCACTTCAATTCAAAAGGTGACACGTATAAACTTTTGATTGGATTGAAAATTTATGAAATTAAAATAAAAAACCCTCTAATCAGATTGTGACATGTGTCACAATTTGATTGGAGATGTCATGATTTGATTGGAGAAATAAATTTATTAAATTTAATTGAAATTAGGGCCTAATTAAAAAATTAAGAATTAAAGTTACTTTTGGTGATCAAATTGATTAATTCTAAAATCTAGGGGATTTAATCTATAAATTTAATACATGACTAGAATAAAATATTTTAGAGTTAATGCTCAAATTAAGGCATTAGACAAATTAAAAACATAATCAAGATCAAATTGCATTAAATGAAAATCCAAGGAAACAAATCATATACAAGTAGTGATCAAAATAGAAGAAAACTAAGTAGGGTTCCAGCACTACATATACATAACTTTACAAGGACTTGCACCCTAATTAGACCAATTTTGTTAACTGCCGCATAAACACTTCCGTTAAATGTTAACGGAAGATGGCTATATTGAAACTATTGAAATAATTCAGTGGTCATATTGAGGTAAATTTGAAAATGGTTGTCATTTTGAGACCAAACCCATAGTTAGGTGGTCATTTATGTAGTTTACCCTCTTTTATTAAATTAATTCAAATAAATTAAACTTTAATTAATTAAAATTTTAATTATAATATAAATTAATATCTACTTATTATTTCTATTTATTTATAAGAAAATAAAATGAACACGCTAGTAATGTTGAAAAATAAAAAGAGCATAAAACAAAGAACAAAAGTGTCAATGTCAATGAATTTAGAATCCAACACAAATAGAGAAAAAAATAGACAAAGTTTAATAAATTATATTTAAATAATTATTTTTAATTACTAAACTTTTAAAATTATAAATTAATCACCAAATATATTAAATTGTTATAAAATTACCATTAAATTTTTATTAAACTATTATGGCATGAACATTAGATATTATATTAGATGTTATTAAGCTGTGATATAATATTATTAAATTTATCAAAATTTTATAATTATTATAATATTTTAATGAGGATTTTATAACAATTTAATAAATTTAATAATTATTTTATAAACTTACATGGGCTTAATAAAGTTCAGAATCTATATTTAACAGCTCAAAGTTAACACGTTTGACAATTCGCTTCTCAAATCTCACATTGTTGAGATATGATATTTTTTGTACTGTTTAAATATATTCTTCTAAACATACACATATTTAAATGTAATGTTGATGTGTCACTATAAGTAATGTCATATCATCATTAAAAAATATCACATCAACAATTCTGATATTTTTTTTAACAATGGGTGACTAAACTGAAACTAAACAAAACTTTAGGTATGATTTTGAAAAAATAGTTAAGTGACCAGACGAAACAAAAATAATAGTTAGGGTACTAAATGCATAGATAAGCCTAGTAGTAATAATAATAATAATAATAATAATAATAAGAGTAAATTA